AATACATTGAAAACCCATGTTACAGCCAGTTAAAGGAAGAGAAGGAATAGTAGAAGGAAGAGAACAGAGGAGAAGGAAAGAGAAAGATTTAGGGTTGAGGGAGAACCTTTCAGTGAAGAAAGAAGCCTACCTCTAGGGATAGGGTGGGCTCTGAGAACATTTTTAGTCTGTTACATTGTAAATGTTGGCAGTGGAAATTCCAAAGCATATTAAATATATACTTTTTAAAAATTAGAGAGCTACAATTTAACAGATAAATCTCAACTGTGTGCCTGGCATTGAGTGAGGGCGGACTGCTAGGTCAACAAATAGGCCTAAGTTACCATCATAAAAATTAGAGAACTATTAATCCAATAATTAGAATAAAGTATGACAGTTATTTTGAAGTGGAAAAAATTCTATGGAAATAAATAGCAGAGGAGCCCATGGTAGCCTTGATAGGGTTCAGGAGAGCCTCCCCGAAGACAAAGTGCCACATAAACTGAGAAAGGAAGGATGAGACAACCATCCAGTGGCAGGGGGGTGTTTCAGGCAGATGGCCAGCTATGAGAAGGCCTGATTCGAAGAAGGACTGAAACAGTTAAATATGTGGCTGGAGACGGGGAGAGCAGCAAAAGGTGAGCCAGGGCGTCTGGGCAGGAATCAGAATTTGGGATGGGTGGGGGAGCTTGCTAACATATTTTGTCATAAGGGTCATGTAAAGCTTTGAGGATTTTTTAGCCAAGAAGGGGTACGTTCAGATTTGCATTTGGAGAAGATCTGTCTGGTTGCCATGCTAAGGATGGTTTAAAAGGAAGCAAGGCTGAAGATGGGTAGGCTACTTGGAAGCTGCTTGGTACTCGAATGGCAGTAATGCCTGGAGAAATGGTGACTGTCAGGATATCTGGAGCTAGAATGTATAGACATTGGTGATCACTGGGTTGTGTTTGAAGGACAACTTTAGGTTTCTAGTTAGGGCAACTGCATGGAGTAGGCATGGATTAGGCATCTGCAACCTACAGCCGACTGGCCAAATCTGCTCTGTCTTGTTTTTGTAAATACAGTTTTATGGGAACCCAGCCATGCACATTCTTTTGCATACTGTCCTTGGCTGCTTTGAAATATATTGACAGAGCTGAGTAATTGCAGCACAGACCACATAGCCCTAAAGCCTAAAACATTTACTATCTGGCCCTTTAAGAAAATGCCAACTGGGATAAATTGTCATTACTTTCATTTATTGAGGGATTAACACTTACCAGACAATGTTCTAAATAATTTTCATATGGTATGTATGTTATGATACTCCATCCCAATTGGCAAACATGAAGTGTTGCTATTGTCCCATTTTAGAGGCACAGATGTGACATTCTTACTCACACACGTAGCTTGTTACCACCCCCATAACAGGGACTCATCAGATGTTGACTTCTAAACCAGACCTCTCATTTGAACTTCGGATAGGCATATCTCTAACAGCCAGTCTCAGAGACAGCCCAAAACTCAATAGGCCCCAAACCAGACTCCTGCTTGTCCCCTCAAACCACATCATCTTTCAGTGTTCCATTTTTCTTAGCGAATATCACCAACCAGAAGAGCAAGCCAGAATCGAAGGAGCCCTCCTCGGCACTTCTCTCTCCCTGTCCCTTCTCTTGTCCATTCTATCTAAAGATTGCTGAAATCTGAAATCTGGCTGCTTCTCTTCATTTGGATCACCTACCACCCGCCAAGTCCATCTTATTAATAGGATCATCATTTATGTGGGTTCTGTAACAGCTTTCTCATAAATCCATTTCACTCCACCCAGACCCTCCTCTAGTCTTCAAACTGCAGCCAGAGTGCCCTTTCAATCCTGTCAACCTCCACCTCCATTCCCCACCTAACCTACACTTTCGATGGCTTTTCTTGTTCTTAGGATTCCCATCAGTTTTTTCATTGTGTTTTTATGTTGTTTCATTGTTTTTTAATTACAGATAACTGATAGGAAGGCAAAATAATTCTTGTCAATATACATGAAATAAATGCTGAAGGTCAGGGTTCAGTGAATTTAGCTTCCCAATTGTGAAAGAAGCGAGTTTTATGTCCATTACTAATTCATGTCACTGTTTCTGACCCAGAAATGTGTCTGTTCTTCGAGCAAGTTTTAACATCTGCCTGGTAACTTCATTATAGGAGTTAATACAAGACTAAAGGCTATAATACAAGTTCATTTTATATGCATATGACAGTCGTCCTTTTACCTTTATCAGGGAAATTATCTTCTAACAACCCGTGGTTGGCTCTCTGCCAATGCTCCCAGTCTCACCCTGGACCAAGCACCCTCTGTTTTTCTCCACTCCAGCCCTGGCTCTCTCTTGTCTCCTGTAAGCACCACGTTCCTTCCCTTCTCAGAGGTGTCCTTTCCTGGAATTCACTTTCATCCCAGATGTTTTTCATCCCTTCTTGTAGTAAATATTTTTTTATCCTCCAGGTCTCTAGTTAAGGATCCCTTGCTGGAAAGCTTTTCCAGACCTTTCTGAGCAGGATGCATTCTATTGTTAGAGGCTGGTAAAACACAGGTAGTGCTTGTTACTTTTGCAATTTTACATTTGTAGGATTAGTTGATGCTTTTTAACACAAGTAACATTTTTCTATATGACTAAAGGCAAAGCATGATAATAGGATGGAGGTATGCTCACACTGCCTCCTCATCACCTAGTCCAATGCCTTCGCCTTTGCAAATGTTACATACACAATAAATATTTTAGACAGATTTTTGGCTGTAAGTACTGCTCAAGAGAGAGGTGGACTGAAAAAATATGTATTTGGGAGCCATCACCATATAGGGTTAGCCATGAAGATGCACAGGAAGCAAAACCATTGGGCCGAGCAAAATGAAGGCTATTAGGAACCTTGTTCAGGTGGAATAATTGGACAGGAGTCAAACTGTAGCCACTTGAAGTGGGAGAACTAGAAGCAGTTAATACAGACGGCACTTGCACAAAGTTTGGCTCTGAAGAGATGAGAGGTATAAGTGACACTGTGGTAATTCTTTAATAACCTCATTCTTGTATTATATGTGCTTTCTCGACTGAAAAGGATTTACAAGTAACATTTAAAATAGCAAGAAAATTGGAGCTGTGTAGTATCTACCTTTAAAACAAAAACAGGCTTATAATGCAATCTGGTGTAGTCAGTTAAACATAGCTTTTGAATGCAAATAAATTGTTAATAATTCTTCAACTAAGGGTTTCTTATTTTTAGGCATGGGGACAAGGTTGGAAAATGGCAGCGCTAGAGTTTACTTAGTCTGTACTTTTTAAAAAATTCGATTTTAAATTTCTTCAAAGACTGGTTTCCAGGGACCTGTGACCTGCCTGGGCTGTATGGTCTTTGGAGCTTCAGACTCCACCCAAGCATAAGAGGCTTTTCTGTGCCTTTTATGAAAAGAAGGGAGGAAGGGAGAAATGAATGTTGCTTTCTGAGTTGATAAGATTAGAGCTATATTGTCGTTAAGGCTGTATGAAATCAATTCTAAAACCAGACCAGATTTAACCGCTCTTACCCAGAGTAAAGGGCCCTCCTCCTTTCCAAGAACAAATCAGCCCAAGTCACCACTTCCTATTAATTCTAAAGCCCAGAAAAGCTCATAGTTTAGGCTGACGTTGCCCTGGGAGAACACAGCAAAGGAGGCAGTAGCTTCCTTTTCCCTTTCAAAGGTCGCTCTATCAGCTCTCTTTCTAAATATTGCTTTCACCGGCTTACATCAGAAAACTGTCAGTTCGATTGGGAGCTCTTGATAGTCTATTTTGCCTTAAAACACTAATGGGTGGGTGGATCTAAGTAGCATCGAGGTCTCTGGGCAGAAAGAGCTCTTAGAGATGTGAGCCTGGTAGCCCTGCAACACCCCGCAACAAATCCAACTTGAGTAGGTGGCGCAAAGAAATCTAAGACCCAGATTCACGTTCTTCCTCATCAGTTTGCGCGTGGGGGTCGGTGGCAGAGGAGAGCCAGTGCACAACTGCCAGTCCTGGGCTGCAAACTGCCTTTAGTCGGTTCGTCCAAGGAAACTCTCCCCTAATGTAAATTAATTTCCCCCAAGGTTGCCTTCGCCTTGGCGGAGAGGCGTTTCCGGGCCGGTTCACCCAGGGGTTGTTTGGTAAATAAGGATGTTCACGAAGTGCCTGCGTTTGGAAAGGCGCTGGCCTGCGGCGCGCATTCCCGTGCCCCAGCCCGGGACCAGGTGGCGGGGACGAGGGCTCTGGTTTTACCCACAGAAGAGTGAGAAGGACCAGACGGGTGGAGGCTCCTCCTCCAGGGATGCTGGAGGGACTGCGTCGTTCCCTGCGCCTCGCCCTGGCGCGGGGCCCCCGGCGGTGGCAGCCCGCGCCGCGCAGTCAGTGCGCGGGATCTTGGCCGCGCAGCCTGCTTTCGCGTCCAGCCGCGCGCCGCGTGCCGCCGCCGCCCTCCGCAGCCCCGCGCTCCCGGAGCCTCCCCATGGCCAGCCCGACCCGTGCCGCTGCGGCCCTCGCCCGCCAGGTACCCGAACCCGGGTGTTTGTGAAAGGGGGCGGATTGGACCCGGGGTCTCCGAAGCCAGCCGGCCTGGTGGGGCGCATCGCTGGCGTTTCCTTCATCCTGCTTCGCCGTTCATCGCCGTTCCGTCTCCACCCAGGCGTTTCCTCTCTCCCCAACCCTAACCGAAATATAGACCTCCAGCCAGCGAACTCCGCTTTGGGGAGGCCCCTGCCGGCCAGGTCTAGCGCTCAGCCAGTGACCGGCTCCGGAGCTCGGCGCGGACAGCCACGGGGAACGTGAGGGTCGCCATGGAAGCCGCCTTGGGGGAGGAGGGAGAAGCGGAATTTCTGGGCTGCCAGAACTGACAGCCACATCCAGCGTGCTTTGGCCACCCCAAAAGATTTTGACCGCAGCCTTCTGCCTCCTTGGATCCCCGCCCCCCCGCACGTAGCTATATAGCAGATTAGGCTTTTTTCTATTTTATTTTATTTTTAAAGGTCTGCGCCGTTTCCCAATTCGTCCCACTTCCACTGTGTCCTTAAGTATCTTTTAAATTACTTCCTAATTCCCTGAGGTTTTGTCCTTAACCCGTGAGGTTTGGTGTCGATGCGCCTGCATTGCAGGACCCTGCCCTCGGAGAAAATGGTTCATTCTCGTCCTCATCCCTTTTCCAGTCTTGCTATTGTGCGCCAGTGATTGACAGGACCACGAGGCTGAGCGCGCCCAGGAGATTTTTCTATAAATGGCTGAAAACCCTAGTCTAGACTATTTACTCGGATATAAGGGGGACAATTACCTTCTTGTTCTTTGCTGGTGAACCCTGGCTCTGTAGGGCGACCCTGGAATTTAACCAGCCTGCCCTAAGCCAGCGGTGGAGGACGGGAACAGCTGGGTAGAAAGTGAAGGACAGCACTCCCAGGACGCTTTCCTTTGGGGCTGGTGCCTGGGTGCTTGATCCTCCTCCTCCTGTTTGCTTGGGTACCTGAGCGGAGCCCGCGGTGTGATGGTGAGTGATACTGATTACCCCAGGCCGCAGTTACCCACCTGGTTGTACTTAATGAATTTAATTCTTCTTTAAGGACTGCAATAACGGATGCTCCCCAGAATGTACAGGAGAAGCGGGATCAAAGGAGGTGGTGGGGACTTTCAAGGTAAGTTATTTGCCAGAGGTTAAGTGAAACAACAATCAACTGAATGGATCTATTTCCTGTTGAGATTTGGGCAGTTTTCACCGGGTGCGTTATATAGTAATTTAGATATGCTGCCATACATTTTAAATTCCATTCTTGTTGGGGGAGGATCATTTGGGGAGCAGTAATATCTTCACATCTAAAATTACCTGGCAGTTGTTTATTTCATTTCATGAATCCTAACTTTTTCTTGGAAAACAATTAATTTGTAAATATTCATCTGGAGGTTTATCTGATTGTATAAATAAGTATAACCCTTCACTAGTGGAAAAAGTTACACTTATAATTTTTCTCTTAAAAGCAACACCTAACATTATACAGTAAATGTGTTGTGTTTCCTTTCTTTCTGAATTATGGGTTTTATACATTAAATAACCTCATAACTTCCCAGGGGACTAATAAGCAAATGAGAATCTTGTAAAAGCACTTTGAAAATCATAAAAATGCAACTATAAGGTGTATTATTTTCTCTATGAATCTTTATCTCCACCCCACCGCTTCCCACCAACCATGGAGGGTTTTGCTTCTCTTTTAAGTCTCCCTCCTCTCCTGCCTATTTCAGTCACTGTCAATTGTCATCCATAGCACAGAGTGTCCTAATGATCTCACATCCTGGCAGGGTTCAGAGAGGGAGTGGAAACTTGACTCATCAATTTCCCACACACCCAGCTCTTACTATGTGGTAGGCATTGGAAATCTGAGGATAAATTCAAGATAAGGTCTCTGCTCTCAAGACTAAAAAAAGAAAAAATAGATAGATTCAAATATAGTAATTTCCTTACTAAAATAAGTCACTGAGTTTTTATTTGTTCATAATATTCCTGGTCCTTTAAAGATAATATCCTCTGTAGCCTTATAGCTGATCTAATCTACTCTGCTAGTCTATGAAGACTAAGTTTTAATACATTCTGGGGTCGTAGGTATTGAGATATGGATTCTAGAAAGAATGAGATAAAATGGACTATTTGATACACTCTCAGGGTTATTTTATATAGTAGGTATATTCCTCAAAGGGTATATAGACAAATGCGATTTTTCCCTGAAAGGCCTTTATATTTTTATACATAGAGAATTTTTACAAAGTTAAAATTAATTCGTAATGTTGGGGCCCCTCCGTGGCACAGTTGGTTGAGCATCCAACTCTTCGTTTCAGCTCAGGTCATGATCTCAGGGTCAGGGGATTGAGCCCTGCGTGGCGCAGAGCTCAGTGAGGAGTCTGCAGGAGTTTCTTCCTACACCCCCCCCCCCACCCTTCCCTGTGCTCGAGCTCTCTCTCTCAAATAAATACATCTTTTAAAAAATTCATAATATAAATAATCTATTTGTTGAATTTAGATTTCTGTATACTAGGTTTTAGTTAAAAGGGGGGTGTACTGACATTCTATGCTTGTATTTACATATTAAAACATGAGTTGTAATGGTTGTATTCACAGTGCATATATAATGAGGAAATGAAAAGTGAGATTGATAATTTGGGGGGGAATGGTGGGTTTTATAGGACTATTTTTGCTTTTGACAAAAAGCAAAGATATTTTTTCTTTATTTACTCCATTTGTATTTTTAAATTGCCTTTAGAGTTTCTTATGGGTAGTTTTCATATTGCATCCCTTCCCCCATTTTGATGCAGTCATTTTAAAGTGAGGATGCAGTTTCCCAACAAGGCCCAGAAATGAGATGCCTTATTACTGGGGAATCCTACAGAATCTTTCTATGAACTCCAGAGCCTTCTTTGTTTCAAAGAGATCAGCTGTCTGTTTCTTCACTTTCCCCTGCTTTATAGATCCCCACAGAATGTGACACTCCAAATCTGTAATTCTCTTCTTCATACCTTTCTACTAGATTTGATTTGATTTTTTAAAGGATTTATTTATTTATTTGAGAGAGAGTGAGCAAGCAAGCTGGGTGAGGGGCAGAGGGAAGGGAGAGAGAGAATCCACAAGCAGACCCCCTGCCCTGCTGAGCACGGAGCCCCAGGGCTCAGTCCCAGGACCCTGAGATCATGACCTGAGCCAAAACCGAGAGTCGGCCGCTCAACCTACTGAGCCACACAGGCACTCCTCTATTAGATTTTAAAAGAATATCTCTAAAAGATAATGAACATAGCACCTAAGGCTTTCCAAATAAAGTAAGAAAAATGCACTTATTGTCGAACAAAGTTATGCATTTCCTGATGTAATGCAGAGAGAGCTTTTAAACATTTAAGTATTGTGTCCAATGCAGAGAAGTACGGATATGATATTGAGTGGTGAACAAGAGATGTGGCCTGAATGCTGGCTAATACAGTTCTCAGGTGCAACCAGGTTGCATTAACCTGCTCTGAGCTTCCCCATTTCAGAGCAGATGGTTACCCAAGCATGAATTTTGAGTTAGGAAGTTGTTGTTTTTAATATGCTTTGTTTTTGTCAATATTTCTTGTCATCTCACAATCTAGTCATTGTGGCCTTCCAAATTCTTCCACAAGCATCTGGCCTGAAACATCCTGACTTTGAAGTCACCAGAGAACATGGAGCACTGGAAGGAGACAGATTAATTATGCAGGAGAAAGTATCATTTTACAAAGACTGTTATTTTTATCCATCTTTGGAAAGGAAATGTAGAAAAAGGTTTCTAAACAGTGATAAAAACTGTTTGCAAAATTTGTTTCTTTATGCCAAAGATTTTTTTCCCCTTAGAACTAGATTTCACATCTACTCAAAACTGGTCACAAACCTTCAGGTAGTATTGGTTATTTTTGAATTTCATTCAGTTTACTAATTGCTTTAATATTCTTAGGTAATTTCTCTTGGAGCTTAGGTTAAAAGCCGTTAGTGTTAGTTTCCAGAATTACAGAATTTTTTTTTTTTTTTTTGAGAGAGAGAGAGCACACGCACATGGGGGGAGGGTTGCCTGGATGGGCAAAGAGAGACGGGGAGAGAAAATCTTAAGCAGGCTCCGCACTCAGCATGGAGCCCTCCCTGGGGCTCCATCACATGATCCCGAGATCATGACCCGAGCCGAAATCAAGAGTCGGACGTTTAACCGAGTCATCCAGGCACCCCAGAAATTGTTTTAAGTGAAGGAAATTAGATTTCTTGATGAAATTCTGAAGGCACTCAGTTGTGTATTACTTTGAAAAACTGCATGTAGGGCAATCCTTATTTACAAATTAGAAAGAGGGTTGCTATTCCTATCATTAATAAGTCACATCTTACAAAAGGATGTAGTCACTAAAATAGAATACCTGGTAATTTAATCATTTGTATTCAGTTTCCAGGAACTTAACTAGTAGTATCAAGTTATAATTACAAGAGCACTAAGTCCAGCATAAAAACACCTTATTCTATATCTTTGCCATTAACTAACTTGATCTCACAGGGCCAGTGGATCACTGTAGGTTGTCCTAGAGATATTTTAAGGACAGAGTTCAGAAAAGTAAAAATTATATACTGGGCCATGGTCATTCTTAAAGTTGGTTCTTTAAGGATTTGTAATAACAAAAGGGTCTTTTATGAAATACAGCAAGCACACATGATTTTTTTTTTTAAAGATTTTATTTATTTATTTGACAGATAGAGACATAGCGAGAGAGGGAACACAAGCAGGGGGAGTGGGAGAAGGAGAAGCAGGCTTCCCACTGAGCAGCGAGCCCAATGCGGGGCTCGATCCCAGGACCCTGGGGTCATGACCTGAGCTGAAGGGAGACGCTTAACGACTGAGCCACCCAGGCGTCCACACATGATTTTTTTAAAAAATATTTTATTTATTTTTTTGACAGAGAGAGACACAGCGAGAGAGGGAACACAAGCAGGGGGAGTGGGAGAGAGAGAAGCAGGCTTCCCACGGAGCAGGGAGCCTGATGTGGGGCTCGATCCCAGGACCCTGGGATCATGACCTGAGCCAAAGGCATTCACTTAATGACTGAGCCACCCAGGCGCCCCAGCACCCACAATTTTTATAAAAACTATAGCAGTCTGTTATGTTGAGATATCCAAAACCATGAAGATCAATCCATGTTTAGCGAAATTTAGAACAGAATTATTAGCACATATTTGATGTGTATAATAGTTACTGTGCTAAATGAGAGTCCAACATAATCTAAAGAAATGACTCCCTTTTCCAATTGTTCAAATTAATTAAAAGATTTTATAGAGCGAAACCACACATTTTGGGGGTTGGGATGTCCAAATAGAGGGGTCGTATGAACAACTGCTAGGTAGTTTGAAAAGCTGAGGATACCACCAGACTGCTGGGCCAGATGGGATGCTCCAAACTTCCTCCTGGAGGAAGTTTCCACACTTCCTCCTGGAGGAAGAAAGGAGTTGGGATAAACTGGCTACACCACATGTCCAGTGTTACAGATGGAGGAAATTATTGGGGAGAAAAAAGAGGTGAGGATGGGAAGGCATCTGTAGCCAAGTGTAGTCCTTCCATGTTAAACAGAGGCATATAGACAAGAATGCTTAAGACCTGGTCAGTGTTCAGGCGCTGGTCAGAGTGTACTCCCAGTACAGCCCACCCATGTTCCTTGTTGACAGATGCTGTTTGCAGTTCTCTGACCTGCCCTGCTAGCCTCCCTTGCAGCTAGATAGATCAGTGTGACACATTTCTGACCAATAAGGCATATATGGAAACTCCTGGGAAAATTTTGTTCTTGTCATCAGAGGAAACAGACTTGTCTGCTGTTACCCTTTTCCTCCCCTGTCTGTGGACCTTGGAAATCATTAAAGCTGAAGCTACAGCCATAATGAGCTTTCTTTTGACTCTGATGAGAAGGCTCAGAAAATCACAGGGCCTTGAGATTATGGGGTACTGCCAGGCCTGGCTCCTCCAGACTTACGTGAGAAAACCAATTCCTATTTGTGTGTTTGACTTACTTGCAGCTGAATACATTGCTAAGTGATAAGTAAAAGGTTAATGCAGGACATTAAGTGAGAGGTAGAATTGAACAAAGAAGTTAGTGCCATACTTGGGATACTTGATTTTGCAGCTAAAATATTTGGGCTTATCTGTGGCCATTATTCTATTCATGGACATTGAAGATGATGATCAAGCATGTGATTATGTTCAGAAAGATGATAGGGAAGAGATACAGGAGAGTTGCTACTGAGAGGGTAGTAGAAATTGAGGAATCAGACTTATTAAAGAGATTCTTGAAAGTCCGGGTGTCTCAATTACTGATAGGGGAAACTGAGGGCTGGGAGAATGTTGTTGAGAATGGTAAATTATCTTGAAAGTAATGAAGATGTAAAGACAATATAGGAAAACATGCACAATGAACTTGTTAATGGAGGTCATGTCTGGGAAGTGGGAACATGGTGGCCAGGGTACTAGTTGGAAATGTTATTGACATTTATTTTTTGAAAGTTGGGAATTTTATACTTTTCATTTTTCTTCCCTTTATGGTAGAATTTTAAATAATAAACATGCATTCCTTTTATTAGATGAAGGATTAAGAAGTAAAGTAGAATGTAATATGATATCAGAAATAGGGATCAAATTTTGGAGGAAATATGTGCTCTATTTTAGATACGTTCAGTTTGAGGTAACCAAGGTCCTGTGATTACAAAATAATGTATGGCTTTTGATAAGAAGTCACAAATGAGACTTGAATCTCTTAAGTGGTTCTCAGCCCTTCCAGTGCCTTGGAATCTCCTGGAGAGCCTTCAGTGAAAATTGATGTGAAGTCCCACTCCTGAGTTTCTTTCTTTTTTTCCGGAGTTTTTGTGCATCTTGGGTACAGCACAAGCAGTGGTATTTCCTTAAGAAAAAAAAAAAAAATCTTCCCAGGAGAACCAATTCAGTAGCCAATGTTGGAAACCGTTGCTCTTCAGGTTGCTGAAATCTTCAAGGGAGATAGTGTGGTGTGGTTCTGAGCCCTGAGTGCCCAGTTAGAATCACTTGGGTAAGTTTGAATAACCAACCAACCACTTCCCTGCCCTATCCCTCTGAGATTCTGGTTCAGTTCTGGAATGGACTGTGGTTTAGTGTTTTTAAAAAGCTTTGTAGTTAAATCCAATGTGTAGCCAGGGCTGAGGATCTCTGATGCAGAGGAGGAAATGTAGAGGCTTAAGGAAAGAGCTCAGTGTTACCCAGATTTTTGTATTTTACCACCATCAAACATCTCCCCCTTCCTGCTTTGCTCCTTCATATTTTTAAAAAGTTAAGGAAGCATGGTAGCCATATCTCTAGTATTATCCCTGATGGCTGCTTCAAATTGCCTGGAGTAAAGGGGTAAACTGGGGTTATTTTAATTGCTAGCAGCCTCTTTGGTAAAGATTCCTGGGGAAATAAGATGGGGTACAGTCTTTTTTTTCCCCCAGAGATTCACTCATTTATGAACGAGAGCATGTGTGAGTGGGGGGAGGGGGAGAGGGCAAGGGAGAGGAAGAGAGGGAATCCTCAAGCAGACTCCCTGTGGAAACCAATGTGGGGCTTGATCCCAGCACCCCGAGATCATGACCTGAGCTGAAATCCAGCCAGACTCTCAACTGACTAAGCCACCCAGGTGCCCCAGACAGGGTACACTCTTGATTGCACAGTCAGAACTCGTGGAGAATTGGAATGTTGGTCATTATAGCATGAAGTTCCCTTTCCCTACTCCAGCAGCCACAGTGCCTCTGTGACATCTTGTGCCCCTCCATTTCCCCCACATTTCCTGAATTCCTGCCACACTGAGCCTTTCCTGTTCCTTGAACATGCCAAGTCCATCCCCGTCTCAGGACCTGGGCCCTTGCTTCCTCTGCCTCAAATACTTTGCCTCTACATATCTTCATGGCCTTCTTTCTTCATTCAAATCTCCGCTCAAAGGACACCTCATCAGGGAGGTCATTCCCAACCTTTCCGCGAAAAATAAGCTTTTTCTTCCCCACTCTATCCTTTTAAGCAGCTTTCAGTTTCTTCATAGCACTAATCACTCCCTGACCTCTTTTTATCCACTTACTTCTTTATACTGTTTTCCCTGCACTAAGAGAACAGGACTTGTTTTATTCCCTGAGATTCCTTTGGGCCCATAGCAATAGGTGCACAGTAGCTCAACAGATACTAGGTTGAATGAGTAATACTTGCTCACAGTGGCTACTTCTGTCCATGGCTGACGGTGAACTTGCCTGAGAAGGAGGGGCTGGGCCACAAGGCATTTTTTTTTATCTCTTGTGCCTGCTTAGTGCAGTGCCTGTGAACCATTGTGCTGGTGCTGAGTGAATAAAAAGGCAAAATACTAAGAATAATAAAGCAGATAAGAAAGAGCAAGGGAAGGAAAAATAAAAAAAGATCACCCTACAGTTGTTTGATATGAGGCCATAGTCTTGTTTTTAAATATTATGTAGACTGTTATTGATATACAGTATATATTCCAAGGCCTGTTGTTTTCATGGCAGGTGGTTATTTATTGGAAAGCTTAGAAATCCTGAACGGTATAAGGATCATGTGTAGTTGATTTCTTGTTGATTAGCTCATGGGAGAATTGGTTTGCTAATGATAGAAAGAACGGGGAAGGTGATTTTTATTTTACTTTTGAAGAACCATGCAGAGTCATGGTTCTGTCATTGGGGGGAAAGGCTAAGGTCTGTTGCCTTTGCAATATTGAAGATGTACCCCAAATTCAACAAGTAGAAAAAACTCACGTCTTCTACCCACACTCTCCCTTCTCCATTTTCACCTACTCATCTTTCTGTTTTGGCTCTTACTACCCGCCCCTGTTATTGAGAAACTTTTATTAATAGTCTTAATAGGTGAAAATTTGGATTGTTTGTGTTACTATATTGATAGGGTTACAGATTTTTCTTAGCCCAGGACTAAGAAAAGCCACTTAAAAAAAAGCTAACTAAAGCAAAGTCCTCAGTGCTTCATTGTGCAAGAATACTGTGAAACCATTCATGTCATGAAACGTTTATGTTAGAATTTTACTCACTTTAAATGCTGGCCATCTTCTGCGGATGAGTGTGACATCTATAGGGAGTCCATCTGAAATCAGCTGAATGTTATCCATCTGAAATCAGCTGAATGTTATTTTGAGTATTTAAGATAACTTGTACTGTATTTTGTGTGTGTGAGGCACTGTGCTAGGTCGGAGATTTAACTGGAATATCTACTCAGTTCTTGTCTAAACAGTCTCGAGGGACTGGCAAACTTTTTAATGGGTCGGATAATAAACAGTTTAGGCTTAAGGGCCATAAGGGTTCTGTCATTATTAGTGGACTATGCCATCATTAAAACTAAAAGAACAGTGTGACTGTGTTCCAATAAAACTTTTATTTACAAAACAGGCCAGAAGGCTGCATTTAGCCTGCAGGTGAAATTTGCCCAAATCCTACTTGGGGCATGAGGTCTAGAGGATAAAGGGAGAGAAATGGAATTCAAGGAGCAAAATAATTGAGCTGGAGTATATCCCTTTAAATAAATTACATTTTTGCACTCCATGAAAGGTTTTAAGTTACTTACTTGAATTAAATAGTGGTAAAAGAAAGTCCATTTGCCCCCAAATTTGGCATTTTATTGGCATATTCCACACTAGCATTACTAAATCTAAAAATGACAGTAATATATTGTCTTTAGTGCCTTAGGCTTCCCTGTAATGTGAGCTTTCTTGTTGTTTTAGAATACATTCAGCTGGATATTATTATAAAAATAAAACTGATTATCATTTATAATATATCAAATGACTAAGGCATGTGTAAGGCAGTGAATTAATCAGAAGGAATTGGATTTTTTTTTTTTTTTTTAAGAGAGCGTGTGCATGAGGCTGGCAGTGGGAGGGGGAGAGGGAGAAAGGGTATCTTAAGGAGGCTCCATGCCTAGCATGGAGCTGACACGGGGCTTGATCTCATGACCCCAAGATCATGACCTGAACTGAAAACAAGAGTCAGATGCTTAACTAAGTTACTTGAGCCACCCAGGTGCCCCTGGATCAGCTTAAATGTAAGGATAAGAGCTGATGATCTAAAGGGAACTCCTGTACTTGATTTTGGGGGACAATGAGTACTTTTGTAGAGTTTGACCTTCTTTACATCCTGCTGACAAGTTGAACCTGTCCCTGATTAATATTGTCTTTTAACTGATCAAAAAGCTCCTTCCCCCCGTGGTTTTATCGGCAGTCTACAGCTGTCGTGAAGTTAGAGATGGTGCTCTGATTCGTGTGTGTGTGTGTGTGTGTGTGTGTGTGTGTGTGTGTGTGTGTGTGTGTGTGTGTGTGTGTGTGTTGGGCCGTTTGTAATGGGCTTTGTGGAGAGTTGGTGTAATGCTGCTGTGTGAAGTTGTTCCCTATTACTCTTATTTATCTTTCTCTCAAGAAGAGGCCCTTTGTTCACTGTTTCCTCAACACAGAATAGAGGATTTATATCTTGGTGTTCATTCTCTACTTCTCTGTTTTCAAAGAGGAAAACATTTGTTTCATTCTGCTCCTTTCTTCAATGATGCACCCAGGGGGTTTTGAAGCCTTATGCCAAGAATTCTTTGAGGGAGTTGGAGTACAGCACCAAGAGATTCAATTCTTAATGACTTGAATTTTAGTTTAACAAATCATTATGAGTGTTGCTATCATTGTTCTAGAAGACACCCCTAACCTCATTCCTCAGTGCTCAATAGGAGTCCTGTAGGGAGAGCGAAGAAGGTATGTGTTCTCCTTTTTCCATTATTTTACCCCATCTGCTATTTTGTCCCTGTTTCTAAATATCATTGAATTTGGTTCTGGTCTTTATTAGGCAGTGTACAGCACAGAGATTTCAAACAACAAGCCAAATTCTGAATGCCAACATGACTTGTTTGGCTCACGTAGTGTTGTTAAATTTCTGAGTTCATTGCCAGCATTTAAACGTCAAATGATTTCACTTTTTAGTGGCCGGTGGCCTAAATTTTGTCTTTTCACCCTCTGTATCATCCAGCCAGTGGATGTTCAGTAACTTTTCTCTAATGGTGTCGATTTGTCTTCCCCAGGCTAAAGATCTAATAATCACACCAGCCACCATTTTAAAGGAAAAACCAGACCCCAGCACTCTGGTTTTTGGAACTGTTTTCACGGATCACATGTTGACGGTGGAGTGGTCCTCAGAGTTTGGATGGGAGAAACCGCGCATCAGGCCTCTTCAAAACCTGTCATTGCACCCTGGCTCATCAGCTTTCCACTACGCAGTGGAAGTGAGTACATGGGAATCAGTGATGGTGATGTACTAGATCTTCACTGTGAGTAGGGAGTAGCTCTTCCCGCTAAAATAGATTTTGGGCAGAATGGGCTTTATCATAGTGACTTGAGGAAATCATAACTGTCTTTAAAACTTTTCCCATAGACAGTTGGATTGAAGGTAAGTCTTAACAACTAATCTTTTAGATAATCTTGAACTTTCCATAATGTCAATTAAAAAATCATTTGCAGCAAATGCAAGGATAGTAGGTAAGAAAATTTGCAAGCAAAAATCCAGCACTGTTAATATTTTACTAAGTCACTTCTCAGATCTTCTAATGACTGAGAAGGTGTCATTGAGTACCATATTATAGTTAGATTTTAGTGCTTACTGCATGTTTTTATGACCAGCATTAACTTGTAGGTATACGTGTTAAGAGACGTGTAATTAAATGTCATCCTTCAGGCATGAGTGGAGTAATTATGAGCATAAAATATTAAATATGTGGAGAATGCTTCCTCTAGTCCTTGTCAGGATACACACAGATCCATGAGACACTCCTCATTCCCTTGACCCGCATTTTATTTTACTCATTTTTAATGTGTTGGACATCTTTCTCAGAATATTGGGGTGCTGGAAATAAGCAGTGGCCTACCTATTAAGGGAGTAAAAGTAGTAGATATTCATAACAGTAATGATAAAATTACTTGTGTTTATTAAATTACGGCACTGTGCTCTGCACCTTATATGGGTCATCACGTTTAATTATTTTAAGTGAGAAAACAGTTAAGCATTCAGGGTCTACAGACAGACTTCCTGGCTCAGATTCGATGTCTGTTGCTCCCTAGGGAGCTGTATGACTTGGGAAGCTTATTTAAAATCACTCTGTGCTTCTGATTTCTTTACCTATAAAATTGAGGTAGGGATAATACTTACCTCATAGTGCTAGTATGAGGTTAAGGTAAGGTAATTTGTGTAAGCGTATACAGCTATGCCTGGTGCATAATGAGAGCCCAGTTGTTAGCTGTTGTTGTTAATCCTTACAGAGCCTTATCTGTTGTAGGAGCATGTTCAGAAAAGTGAACTTTCTCAGCCAAGATTACACAGTATTAAGGGAGGACACAGGGTTCAAATGCTGAGTTCCTACTCCCTGCGACATCACTCCTAAACATATACACTAAAATTCCGAAGAGGCCTGTCCAATTAACGTGGTCAAAATTATAAATTTGAATAATTTGGAAACCTGTTCGATGCCCAGATGTATTCACGGGCTGTTGCATCTTTAGTTTCTATTCCCAGCTGTGTGTCTTCACTGTATCAACTTGGATGAGTTCTTTGATTATTTGCTCCAAGCCTCAGTTTCAACTATAAAATAAGACTGGGTATATGCCTGTGTCATAGGGTATAATAAAGAGCAAATGAAATAAAGGAAGGGCCTAAAAAAATCGAAAGAAGGAATATGGCAAATCTTAGGGCAGTGGTCTCAAACATAGCACATGTCCTGCTCTCAGAGTTTCTAATTTCCCCTGAATTCCCAGGCCATGTTCATGCCGCTGCTCCAGGGACCACACTTTGAGAACTGGTGGCCTATGGGAAGTACATGAGAAAGGATTAATGTGATTTTTGAAAGCTAAAAACAATTTTGATGGCCACTGGCTTTGAAAACTTGTTGGAAATCTAATCAGAGGAGTTAGAAAGCTAATTTGCTTATTAGTTTTGCCAGTTTAGATTTTTGTGACCAGGAGAGTTTAAAACATTTTTTTTTTTAATTACCATTATCCTTTGTCAAATGAAAATTGAAAACTTTTCTATATTATTACTGTTCCACTTACAATATAGATACAAGAAATGTTTTGCGTGAAGCAGTGGATTGTATATTACGTCAGTTGTCGATTGCAATGTAACAGATTAATGGCTTAAAACAACGACCATCATTTTGTTTTTATCTTCCATGATTCTGGGGGTTGATGACTAGGATGGCGTAAGTGGTTCTTGCTTGGGGTCTCACTTGCAGTTTCTGTCAGATAGTGACTGAGGTTGGAGTCAGTTCAAAGGCTTCCTGACTCCTGTCTGGTGCCTGGGTGGGAAAACTCAGAAGGATGGGGATGAAAAGCTGAGGCTCTGCCAGCATCCCTCTTTCTCCATGTGGTCTCTCAAGTATGGTGGCTTCAGAGTAGTCAGACTTGGTACATGGTGCCACGGGCTCTAAGCTGTGTGTCTCAAGACACTGAGCCCAGATGGAAGCTTCTAGTTCTTTTTATGTCCTAACCCCCAAATCACACAGCATGACTTCTGTCATAACTATCATCCTGGCCATCACAAAGTCCTGCTCAAGTTCAAAAAAAGGAGATACACCTTTCTTGATGAGGAATGTTGAGATTCCAGAAGATCATGTAGGACTGAAAATATTGTGTGGCTATGTTTTGGAAATACAATCTGTGATATGTATCAGGGATAAATGGGGAGGTAGAGGAACGCATTTAGTTTGCTTTTTGTCCGATTGGGCTCTTAGGTTTAGCAGGCAAAATATTAGGACATTGTCATAGGGATTTAGGAAATGTGATTGCCTTGTGCAGAGAAACTGGATCCTGGAATTTTTTGAAGCATTTCAGTCGATTTCCTATTTACTTACTTGTGCAATGGATGCCGAGGGTCTACTTGGTTCCCTGGGACTGTGCAGTGTGCTTAGGATAGGATGACAAGCAAACTGCCATGATGTTGCCCTCAGCATATATTTTTTTTAATCTTTTAACCCCCACTAACAGGCAGATACTTTATTACAAAAATTTTCTTCCCAAATGTGTTTGAAACATTTATGTTTCAGGCTTTTTCACAGGTATGACTGTTTCTTGTATACTGACCCATTTATGGACACTACATTATTGGATGCCAACCTGATTTTGAAGTTCAAAAATAGTTGTAGTTGTATTTTTTAACCCCAAAGTGAATATATGAGCAGTCTTCTTAAATATCGTTCTCCTCCATTCATCAGCCCTATTGATTTTAGAATCCATTTTATTTTGAGATCTGCAACTACATGTGGTTTTTATTAATTATGAAAGTATTCTTTATTTTTATTTTTTAAATATTTTATTTATTTGATAGAGTGAGCACAAGCAGGGGGAGCCACAGACAGAGGGAGAAGAAGTTGACCCCCTGCTGAGCAGGGAGCCCGATGCGGGGCTCCATCCAGGACCCCGGGATCATGACCTGAGCCGAAGGCAGATGCTTAACTGACTGAGCCACCCAGGCGTCCCATGAAAGTATTTTTTAATAGATACATATGTGAAGATTTCAAATAGTGAAATATGAACCATGAGTAAGGAACTTGGACAAAATATGAAACTTGATAATAGTTCATTTTCAGGTTGAAACAGTCAAAACATAGTTTGACAAAAAAATGGGTAACATGTACTGTTACTTAATGAATACTTAACAAATGAGTGCTTTAGAGTGTATATATCTCTAACACTATAATTTTGCCTTTTTTTAGTCTTTTTTTTTTAAGATTTTTTATTTACTTATTTGACAGAGAGAGAAAGAGCACAAGCAGGGGCATCAGCAGAGGGAGAGGGAGAAGCAGGCTCCCTGCTGAGCAAGGAGCCCGATGCGGGGCTTGATCCCAGGACCCTGGGATCATGACCTGAGCTGAAGGCAGACACCTAACCAACTGAGCCACCCAGGCGCCCCTAGTTTTGCCTCTTTTTGAAACTATGTAAATGGAAATATAAAGAGTGTGTGTGTGTGTGTGTGTGTCTATTGTTTGAGCTCAATATTATGTAAGATTTATTCATCCATGACCCACACGAACATCAGTGGGGCCTGGGACAAAAGTACAAACAGAAACCTGGTGGCTCACCCACTATCTCTTCCTGTCCTGGCTCCATCCTGTGCCACAAGGAGCCTCACACACATATGTGTAGATACCTATACTATGTGAAAATGGATGAGCCTTGGCCATCCGTTGGTCTTAGGCATGGGCACACCAGTGGTGCTACCTGTTTTCAGTAGGATGAACCTAAGGAGAGTCATTCAGGCTCTGAAAATGGGATCAGGGCCATTTGGGCAGGGAATTCCAGGGAAGTGGGTACTTGGAGCCTGGTCTGAAAAAGGAACTCAGGGTCCAGATGACTACCTGCCCCAAGGAAAGGTCACAGCTGGAAGAAGGCGGAGATGAGAAGCCCTCTAAAGTATGGGGCTCCTTTCAAGAGGTTGCCAAGGTTAAAACACTTCACATTAACACCAAGACCATATTTTTCTTTTTCACTGTGCGTTGACATTTGCAGTAAGACTCTGACACCAGCTTCTGCTAGTTAGCCATTATCTTCTTTACTGCCAACTGTTAAAGTATAAAGAACATCAGCTTTACCTAAGAATGTTCTTGGTGAAGTGGCAATAATTATTAATTTATTAAATTTTGACTTGAGTAAATGTCATTTTTTTTTTTTTAGATATTTTTTATTTATTTGACAGAGAGAGACACAGCGAGAGTGGGAACACAAGGAGGGGGAGTGGGAGAGGGAGAAGCAGGCCTCCCGCTGAGCAGGGAGCCCGATACGGGGCCCGATCCCAGGACCCCGGGACCATGACCTGAGCCGAAGGCAGACGCTTAACGACTGAGCCACCCAGGCGCCCCAGTAAATGTCATTTTAATCTGTGTGATGAAATAGAAACTTTGCCTAAAGCACTTCTACATCCTTAAATACTACTACAGTTGTCTCAAGGAAAAGTAATTGTGTGGTGTGTGTGTGTGCGTGTGTGTGTGTGTGTGTTGTGAGCTGAATCGGCTGCTTTTTTCAACTTAGAACCATTTTACTTGAAAGAACAAAGTATAGTTATACAGAATTGGGCATTTTGCAGGTGTCTTCTTGAAAATGAACAAAGTGAGTCTGCCACTTCAAGCAAAACAATGGACTATATTTGTTGCCATTGATAAAATTCTAGCTTACAAGTAAAAATTAGGATTTTGGAAAATTTGTATCCACCACCACAAGCTTGAGCCTTTCCACTATTAAAGAGTTTTTTGATGATGTTAGTAGTAAAATTAACAGATTTTTTAAAACTGCATTGTATGAAAAAGGTGTTAACCTTTGGAAGATCTGCATAACTTGAACTAACATTTTCCAAATAACCATTGCATGACATTACAAATTTATGTATGACTTAAGATCCATTCAAAATACAAGATAGACTGTGATGGCTTTTGATGTGTCAGTTTGGCTAGTCTGCACTGCAGTCCCCAGAATTTGATTTTTAGTTTCCTTCTAGTTAGAATACCTACAAGACGTTCTCTTGTGAGTGATGGAGGACAGAGGGAGGCATGACCATTTTATTGCATACACATAACCACCTTCTGGGTATTCAATCAAACACCCATCTAGGTGCTGTGGTGAAGGAATTCTGTAGATGTGATTGAAGTCCGTAATCATCTGACTTAAAGTTAATCAAAAGGGAAATTATTCTGGGTGAGCCCGACCTTAGGACTTCTGTGAGGTAAGAGACTCCACACATAGCTAGACCTAGCTTTCTTTTCCTTTGTCTCTCCTTTCTGATAGCCTGAGCGTCCCAGCCTGCTTGTCATCTTCTCTCCCTGATGGCCTGTCTTACAGATTTGGGATTTGCTTAGCCAGCCACCACAATCGTGTTGGCCAATTTCTTATAATAAATCTGGTAATAATATAGGTATCTCCTGTTCTTCTTTAGTTGAACTCTGATACACTATTGGATTTTAATAAGTTAGCAGAGTATGAAAACTTCATTGATAGGGTTTCAAATTCTGCATTGCAACTAACCTTCAAGGAACAACCACTGGTCAACTTTTGAAGTGGTATCAGAGAAGAATAACCACAGGTATCTGAAAAGGCTATCAAAAATACTTCTCCCTTTCTCAAGTGCGTATCTGTGAGATTGGAATTTTCTTTGTGTACTTCAACCAAAACAATATATTGCAAGAGCAAAAGCAGGTATAAGAATCTAGTTGTCTTTCATTAAGCCACCCATTAAAGATTTACAGTAATGAAAAACTGCCACACTGAACAATAATCCTTTTGGAAAATATGGGTAGTCTTCATTAAAATATGTCAAACATGTCACGGTTTACTGTTAAATAAATTTAAATGGCTCACTTCTAATTTCTCATATGGTAATTATTGATAGAATAACTGCATATATAAAAGCTTTTGGGGGCCTTCATAATTTTTAAAAGTTTACACTTGATCTTAGCCAAAAGGCCGAGAAGCAATAATAATTTTTAAAAGTTTAAAGACCTCCTGATGCCAAAAGATTTGAGAAATACTGTGTAAGCTTATACCGAGGAATAGTGCTGCTAAGTCATCGGATGTATCTTTAATTTTATAAGAAAAGGGAAACTATTTTCTGTAGTGGTTTTACCAATATTTATACCCGCCAGCCATGAATAAGCATTCTTACTGTTCCAAAACCTTGTCAACTCCTAATATGGTCAGATTTTAAAATTTTAGCTACTTCTGTGTAATGGCATCTCATTATTGTGATACTAATTTCCACTACTCTAAGAGGTTGAACATCTTTTCGTAGGTTTATTGGGCAATTGGATATCTTATTTAAAGTGCCTATTCAGATCTTTTGCTCACTTTTCTATCATGTTGTCTTTTTGATTTGTGGAAGTACTTTTTGCATCTGTGTTGCTTAATGAGATTATCATATAATTTTTTTTAAGACTTTTATTTTTTGACAGAGAGAGCGAGAGAGGGAACACAAGCAGGGGGAGTGGGAGAGGGAGAAGCAGGCTTCCCACTGAGCAGGGAGCCTGATGTAGGGCTCGATTCAGGACCCCGGGATCATGACCTGAGCCGAAGGCAGATGCTTAACGACTGAGCCACCCAGGCACCCGAGATTATCATATAATTTTAACGTATATTTGAACCTACATCAGGTGCATACAATTTTAAAATTAAGGTGAAGTAAATGGAACCCTATGAAGTTATTTTCTTTACACTCCAGTTAAATTTAAGTTAAAAATTTATTTTGTTTTGTATGTACTAATTAAAATTTATTAATTTTATTAAAATTAAATAAAATTTAATTTTGTTTTGTATTTGCTAACAATATAACCTCACCAGCTTTACTTTAGAAAGAATTTGTATGACATTTTGCTTACTATGTCTTTTTGTTTCAGGTGTGTTTCAGATGTTCTCAGTCGAGTCCAAAATCTGACAACCTTCTCTTTTAACTGAAGCTTTACTCCTGTTCCATTTAATAAGTTACATATTTGCATTTCAATCTCATTTAGTGCTTTGAATTGTGCTACATGATTTAGATTTCTTTTCTCACGTGAGCTGAGCTTTAAGGCTACAAGCTTCTAAGGGCCCAATTATCCTTCAGTTCAATAAATTTTCTAAATTCCCTTATTTTTCTTCTTTGACTTGTACTTTATTTAGTGATGAGTTTCTTCCTTTCCAAAATGTTGACATTTTGTCGTCCTCTTTCTGATCCTGATTTCTGGTTAATGGTTGGAAGTGTGTGAAAAGAGCATGCATTCTGCAGGTGGTGTGTGCAGGGTTCTGTCTGTCCTCTAGGTTAGTTTGCTGTTCTTATTGTTCAAATCTTCCATATCTTTGCCGAGTTTCAGCCTGTTTGTTCTGTCAGTTATTTAGAGAATGAGTGTTAAAATTTCCCACTAAAATTACAGATTTTTCTCTTTTCTCTGCGTTTATCAGTATGCAGCTACTTCAGAAGAGTCTTTTAACATCCCTGCCCAGTGATTTGTCTGGTGTGACATTTTGACAAAGGTGGCCTGGCCCTACCGCAGAATGGTCTTGGGCTGCTTGGCTTCTGTGATTGGGGTACTAAACCAGCCCTTGTCATATTTAGATTATCTACCATCCAGAGTCTGTATGAGCCAGATTAAATGAAAGGATGCATGTGTGTTTAGGGCGGCAGGAGTGGGTTCTTTGCGTCCATTTTCATTGACTGGGCTGTTAGCTCACGTTGTGTGATTGGAGATGTATTCTCCCCACCTCCATGGAGGTGTTATTTGGCAATATGGCTCCTGCTAAGGAAAGGATCACTTTGAATTCCTATCAGATTTTGGTACTAAAAGAATTTCTTTTTAACCCAGCTACAGTAACCAGACTGTCAACTGTTGGCTTCTCTAGATTTGGAGATCTTTGGTCTATGTCAACAGCTTGGCATGATGAAGAATATGAGTGCCCATAGAAAAGTCAGTCTTTTAAACACAGAGATTGTTTTCATTTAGTTATCCCCTAAGATTTATTTCTCTTTTTCTCTTTAGTTGTTTGAGGGATTGAAGGCATTTCGAGGAGTAGATAATAAAATTCGACTGTTTCGGCCAAACCTCAACATGGATAGAATGCACCGATCTGCTGTGAGGGCCACTTTGCCGGTATGTAAATTTAGGAGTTTCTTTTGTGTTTCTCTTGATGTAATGGGTCACTGTGAATTTACCACCAAACAAATCATTTCTGAATACAGTTGACCCTTGAACAATGTAGGGGTTAGGAGCACTGACCCCCAGGCAGTTGAAAATCCCCCCAAAACTTAACCAGGATCCTACTGTTGACTGGAAGCCTTACCAAAACATAAACAGTTGGTTAACACATATTTTGTATATATATATTATAGACTTGATTCTTATAACAAAGTAAGCTAGAGAAAAGGAAGTGTTATTAAGAAAATCACAAGGAAGAGAAAATACATTTACAGTACTGTACTATATGAAAAAAAATACAGACGCAGATGGACCTATGCAGTTCAAGTCCATGTTGTTCAAGGGTCAACTGTAGTTAGATCAATATTCGGTGCAAACCACATGAACACTTAAGTTACTTCTGATCTACTTTGTAATCAGTGAGGTAAAAATACAAGCAAATAAGCAATACCACTTGGCAGTTCCACAGTCTGTTTCTTCGTAAATGTCCATGGGGTGTTAGTGTGTATGTAAGAGATAATAGGATAAGGAAGAAAAATATACGTTAAACTAAATTCAATAAAATTTGAAGACCCTATGAAATTATAATATGTGAAATGGAAAATAGGGTGTGCCACACAGATATTTTGGGAATATTTTGCCTAATTGCTTGGGACACTAGCAAGTTTGCAATGATTTAATTATTTTATTTTACCCCAAGCTTTATTTTTTTTTAAGAAAATGATATCGAATGGTTTGTCATGGCCATTGGTGACTGTCTATAACATTGTTTTGTAAAGAGCAGAATTCGTTACTTGGTGGGTTGGATTTAGAACCTAAGGCTCATGTCTAGGTAGGAGGTGTCTTAGATTACTTCCCTTCCCTGAGACCTGACCAGGCTACCTTTCTGAACTGAAGGAGTCCTTTTCTGCTTTTACAAATTCTGTGTGCCTACGTTTTAGGAGCCTAGCCCTAGCTGTACTTTGAAGAAGCCCAACTAACTACTCCTTTTTAGCCGGGCTCTTCCTTCTCTTCCCTATTTTTGTAACCCATGCTCACCCACCTCCTTCAGAGGCCATAATATAGTGCCAAAAGGGAAATGAAGGTAAGTTCTTTGGACTAGTTTCACTCTTGTGCCATTAGAGACAAATTACCAGGAAATACTTTAAAGTGGGGACAGAAGGAAAGGGAAATAACATCTGTTGGACCACAGATCTGCCATAAACTGTGTTATGTGGTTATACATTCCTTCTTTGTTTAATCATAACAGTGAACCTCAAGAAGGTATGGGTTTAAAAAAAAAAAAGGTATGTGTTGTACATTTTAGTAGCACCTTTGTGCCTCACTCAAGCCTCTAGAGCATAAACGACTTGCCTAAAGTCACAGAGTAAAGGGACAGGGCAAGAAATTGGGTGCAAGTCTTTTTAATTCCTAGTCAAGTTCTATTTCCGCTAAATCCTCTGTGACTCAGGGTGATGATGTGTCCTATATGATCGGCAGTCCCGATTTCCTATATTATTGTGCTGTGATTGCTGTTCTAAGTTCTCATTTAAGTAGCCAATTCTTGGTATCATGGGTTCTACTTGGATGTGTGTTTCTGACTCATTTCAACCTTGCATAACCCATGACATACATCTCTGAAAGTATGTTTCTTTGCCCTGTTAAGTGAGTAGAAACTACTTATTTTACAAACTGTCACCATCTAGTATATGAAAAGCTTTTTCTCCTTAGAAATAAACTGCTCTTTGCCTTTGCCCATTTTCCTATTGGATCATTTGTGTCTTTCTTACTCATTTTCGGACTATCTTAACATATTCAAGTTATCCTTGGTTAATTATGGGTTATGAATAACTTCACCAAATTTGTTGCTCCTCAGCATGGAGTCTGCTTAAGGACTCTCTCCCTTCTCTCTGTCCCTTCCCTCCACTCTTGTGCATGTGTTCTCTCACTCTCAAATAAAAAAATCTTAAAAAAACAAACCAATGCTTTTCTACCTTAAGGTGACAGAGGTATTTTTTAATTTTTACTTTGTAAAAGTCTTAATGTTTTATCGCATTTAAATGTATAATCCAACTGTAGTTGATATTTACTATGGTAAGAGGTAGGGATCCACTGTTTTATCTCCTCCACGTAGATAATCCATCATCCCATCACAATTTTGGGGTAAAAAAATGACAGAAAAAGATTCTTGTTTGGTTTTATTATTACTTTTTTTTTTTTTAACAGTCTAAAGCTTTCATGAGGATCATTACTTATTGCTACAGTGGAGGAAAATCCCTCTCTTCATTATGTTTTCCATTCCTTCAGGTATTTGACAAGGAAGAGCTTTTAGAGTGTATTAAACAGCTTGTGAAACTGGATCAAGAATGGGTCCCCTATTCAACATCTGCTAGTCTGTATATTCGTCCTACATTCATCGGAACTGAGGTACAAACTGACTCCCTGTTTCTGGGTGGGCAACTTATCATCATTTATTCATGTGTGACACTTCTAGTATATAGTTTGAAATAGCCCCCCAAAACATCATAAATGACTCCTTTCTCCTGGTTATCAAAACCAGGTGTCAGCAAACATTTTCTTTCTTTTTTTTTTTAAGATTTTATTTATTTATTTGACAGAGAGAGAGATAGCGACAGCAGGAACACAAGCAGGGGGAGTGGGAGAGGGAGAAGAAGGCTTCCTGCAGAGCAGGGAGCCCGATGCGGGGCTCGATCCCAGGACCCTGGGATCATGACCTGAGCCAAAGGCAGATGCTTAACGACTGAGCCACCCAGGCGCCCCAGCAGACATTTTCTTTAAAGGGCCAGGTGGTAAATATTTCAGGCTTTGTGGGCCTTATGGTTTCTGTCACAACTCAATTCCACCATTGTGGTACAGAAGCCGCCACAGTTACCAGTGTAGATGAGTCAGGAATGAGCAATGAGCAACAAGGCTGTTTGCCCTTCCTTAATCAAGATTCACCAATATTTCCTCATATTTTCCTGAGTGTCCTCAGAGGCATTCCTCAGTGTAATGTCTCTTGTCTTGGCAACAGTTCTCCAAGGCAAAAGTGGTAATGGTTTTGAAATTTGGAGGAGGGAGAGCTGCTGCTTTTTATTTTCATTTTCCTGAAGTCTTGGGATTACCAAGGAGTGGGAGTGGAAAACTCTTCCCCCACAGGAAATATTGAAAATGAAGTTCACAGTGGGAGTTAGGGAAGGAACTTGAGAGCTAGAGTTGTAGCTTTACAGATCATGCCCATAAGATCTGCTGGTAGGTCCCAGTCTACTGGTGGGTGCCCTTGCCAAAGAAGGGCATGCCTGGAGTAGGTAAGGCTGTTTGTGTGGGTTGAGGATGCCTTTTAAAGACCCTATCACTTGTCTCCTTCCTCATCTAGGCAGCTGTGGTTTTATGGAGAGTGGGTGGTATGGAGGGATAATTGAGGCGGGGAGATTGAGTGTGAGTGGGCAATGAAGGGGCTGTGGCATATGGAGATTTTTACGAATAGGGAGAATGAGATGGCACTCTTGCTATAGTGTAGCCATTCTGCTTTCTACTAGGTAATTGTATGCTTACCAGGTTCTCTACTCTGCCATCTGAATGCAAGAAGTATAGAAATACATAAGGCCATAGAATAAATACCTAAGTGGTCCTTTGGCATCCTTTTGATGCCTTTTGAAAGACTATTAAGAATCTAGATAATGAATTTCATGAATTGCAGTCTCCCTAACAAATTTGGAAGAATTGGGACAATTAAAAAAGTTATCTACTCCTTATGTCTCTGACATTTTAATATTAAGGAAGTTTTAGTTTTTAATTTTATATTTTTATTGATATATTTTTAGTTTTTATATTTTAGGATAGGAAGAAGCAATTTTTAAAGTTTGTTGAAACATTGTTACTACTCTGGAAGCACTGTCTTGCATTTATTCTGAAGTATTTTCCCCCTCTAAGATCAGATTCTTCTTTCCAAGTTTGTTGAGAATTTTTTTTATGAATGGATATTGAATATTGTTGATGCTTTTTCTAAATGTCTTGACATGATTATGTGGTTTTGTCCTTTATTCTATAGTTATGCTTGTTATATTCATTTTTTGGTGTTAAAACAAACTTGCATTCCTGGACTAAATCCTACTTGGTTACAGTGAATAATTCATATTAGATCTTGTACCAGTTTGCAGGTATTTTGTTAAGAATTTATGTCAATTCTCCTAAAAGGTATTGGTCTGTAGTTTCCTAGCATATTTTGTTCTGTGAGTTAGTAAATTGTTCTGATTCCTGGAATCCTTTAATCTAGAGTTAGACAAGCTTTTAAACCTGATTTTATAGTCTAGCATGTTGTCACAATAATCCTCTCTATTGGTAGTCTTCAACTTTTTGCATTTGAATCACCCAGGTTTGTTTGATTAATTGATTGATTATTTGATTGGGGGGGCAGAGGGAGAGGGAGAAACAGAATCTTAAGCAGGCTCTACCCCTAATATGGAGCCTGATGCGGGGCTCGATCTCACAACCCTGAGACCATGACGAAATCAAGAGTTGGATGCTTGGGCGCCTGGGTGGCTCAGTTGGTTAAATGACTGCCTTCGGCTCAGGTCATGATCCTGGAGTCCCAGAATCAAGTCCCGCATCGGGCTCCCTGCTCGGCGGGGAGTCTGCTACTCCCCGAGTCTGCTACTCCCCAAAAAAAGAGTTGGATGCTTAACTGACTACTGACTGAGCCACCCAGGTGCCCCCACCCAGGTATTTTTTTTAAATACACATATTGACCCCTATCCCCAGAGATTCTCACTGAGTAGGTCAGAATGATGATTCTGATGCATGCCCAAATTTAAGAATCTCAGTGACAAAAGCCTTGCCAACTAGTTCTCTCCAACTACACTCTTTCAACTTACCTATTTGATTATGGTTTGGAATCAAAAAATTTTTTAAATCTGCTTTACAAGCAGTAAGTTAAGAATCAAAGGAAATAACTGATATCATTTGGTAAGTCAACATTATTTGTATTTGGTACATTTATATCAACTAGAATTTTTCTAATTAAAGGTACAGGCAGAAACCAATCACCTATAATTCAGAAACAAGCATAATACAAATAATGTTCAATAAACCATATAGATTTAAACTTTGTACACCACACAGATGTTCTACAATCTAGTCTGGTAAATTATCAGGCACTGTCTTTTCATGGTGGCTGCATTTGATAAGTGAGGTGCTGGCTGGAGGATTAGGCCCAGTGGCTTCTGGTCTACTGGGCTTCTTTCATCAGGCGTGGCTAACTTTTGCTGGCCTTTTTATGTTACTTGGGTTCGTGATGGCTCTGTCTTGTCACTGGCTTCACAGAATAGTTGCAGGTTCACCTTTGTATCAGTTGTCTGATGTTTTGGTCTTGTCTACTGCTGGCTAACATCCACATTTTTCTTTCATGTTCTTTTCATGTTTAGATTAATTGATTAAGTGGGTCTTCGATCCAAGAGGTATTTTGACTTCTTTGAATGAGCAAATAAATATATGTCGGGGTAATTTATTAAGTGATATCACCCCCTGCTTGATCTCATGTCCCCAGTTTCTATTCTTGGGTGTGATACTCCCATGTGTGTATAGAATATTCAGTATTCTACAACAGACTCATTTGTACTGAGCTCCAGTCCAGATCCAAATAATCTAAATCTGTGGAGCCAGGATCAGAGACTCTGCATTTAACCAAACTCTCCAAGGATTTCTTAACTACTTTCAAGGGTATCACCATCTCAAGCCTTGTGAAAGAATTAAGTATATGTCTAGAGCAGTGTTTAATGCTTTATTTGCTCCTGGGTTTGCAAACTGGCACCCGGTAGAAATATTTATATCTTTGAAAGCTCAACTTCATCCCAAGGGCAGGGTGTTGTTTTCACTTTTAGGGGCCATGATATAACAGTCTCATATTAATTATTCCTTCTCACGCCCAGTATGATTTGGTAGCAGCCATGTAATAAGAGAGTGGTTCTACTCTCAACTTACGAATTTCATTATGTTTGTAAAGTATTCTGCTTCTTCACATGTTTTATAATTAACTGACCCTTCATTTTGATTAATTTACGTAGGTAATACTTATGTATGAATGTTTTTATGCAATTCTTCATATGTCTCCCAGCCTTCTTTGATAATAATTGGATCCATTGCTAAAATCCTTTTAGATTTAGGATTATAGTAAACAGAATAGTATTTTATTGGAACATTTGTAATTAACTATTAATATATAACCAGTGGGTAGAGCTTGCCAATAAAAAATACCAGGCTGCCAGTGGGTGAAAATTAAAAAAAAAATTTTTTTTCCTATAAGGTTCATATTATTAAACAAAATACTAAACATTAATACATAAACCTCTTGTAAAAAGTTTAAAGAGTAAAATCATTCATGTTACCAAAAGATTTCTCATTAAAAAAAGAATTTCCGTATCCCTTTAGTATCTTCTGAAATATTTATTTAAAAGCTTTTTTTTTTTTTAAGATTTTATTTATTTATTAGAGAGGGAGAGCGAGAGGGAGAAGCAGGCTTCCTGCTGAGCAGGGAGCCCAACGAGGGGCTCCAGCCCAGGACCCTGGGGTCATGACCTGCCCGAAGGCAGTCGCTTAACAACTGAGCCACCCAGGCGCCCGAGGTAGTTAAAAACTTAAAGAGAAACGAAAAGCTGGAGTGCTTCAGACTACTGCTGATTATGTGTCAATTGGAAATTAAGATAAAATCTGAAAGCCTAATATTTAAATAAAGAACATTTACATGAACAGTTTCTAGATTTTCCCTTTATCAGACAAGAAGTAAAATTACATGACTGTCCATTTCAATACTGGATACCAAACAGCCTTACATCTGAAGAAGCTGGGTTTTGCTGATTTTAACATCTGTTTTATCCAACTTCACTCTATTTGGGAACTCTAAGCAGGTACAGCTATATGAACGTACAGACACAGGCTTTATTTCCTTAGTGATTCTAATAAGTGTACAAGTGCTTTGACCTCAATCTATACCAAAATAGGCACGAGCATGAATTCTGAAATCCCGTGTGATCATGGCGTTCAGCCTTTCACTTTTCCAGTTTTTCTCAGTATCCTCTCGTCCCACTGGAGATGATTGGAGAGATGGTGGAATGAGGCAGCACTGAATAGCAGCAGGGCTGAGAATCCATGTCATGGAGAAGGGTCAAGTCTGATGGTTGAGAGTCAGCCCACTCAGCCCCTTTGACCAGGTCCCAGGCTGATGCCACAGATCTGCAAGCTACCAGCAGATTGGGCTTGTCCAGCTGTACGCCTAGACAGATTGACCTTGGCTCATGTGGAAGGTGAGGAATCCCTTATATTCCGTTAACTCATACTTCTACATTCAGAGCGCCCCTAAATAAATTTCTGGAGATGAGCTCCACTAGTGAAGCAGTCTGCTTTTGGTTAATTCCAGGCTCGGATGCACAGAA